AGATGCTCTCTATTAGGGTTGTCGTGCGAGACGTTTTCCTTAAAATGGACCGTATGGATCCCATAATCATCAATTTCTTTAAAACGTGACTTTAAAAGTTAATTACCAAATGAATAAAGATGTTAAGGAGATGGGAAAAATGTGAGAGGACGCTCTCGCAAATCTTAATAGTAAAATAGATTTTAATTTAAAATGCATACGTTTAATTATAAGTTTTTATTCATTTCAAATTATAGGACCATAAATTTAAATGAATGTGTGCGCTTGCATAAAATGTACGCGTGCGCGCGCTCGCGAGGAAGTGTAAATTATATGTGTATATATTTTGCATATGAATATATGTGAAAATTTAATATAATCCCGTATTTAAGAAAAATAAATTTCACGACATTTTTCGAATTAATATCAAAGTGCAGGGAAACTTTTTGCCAAATAATTTTTTTGCCGATGATATAAAAATACAAAAAAAAATATAAACTGCATTCAACTAAGTAATACTTGCATGCAAATTTAATAATTGGATAACTTTAGGAATCATAAATATATGCGTGCGTGGGTGCCAACTCGTGTATATATAGACTCGTTTACGCGTTACATTTACCTAATGAAGAATATGCTAAATACTTGTAAAAAGTGTGATATACATTTTAAATATAAAAAGTGTTATTTAATTTATATAAGAATATAAGAATTTGGGTTCTTAAAGCCCTTCAATTATGCGGGAACGTACAGAAGTTTTACTGTTTAAATTTAAGTTTTTTCTTGAAAAAGTTGCGGTCGTACATTTTAAAGTTTCAATCGTTTGTATGGATCGTATTACTTTGTTCACGTTTTAATGAAGTGGCAGCATTATGGATAATGCCATTGTCATCCTTAATTTAAAATCTGATATTTAAAAGCCGCAGCGAGCCCAAAGAGGCCAATGTTCACCAAGTACAACCGATTGAAAATTCATCGTGAACTTTTCAAATTTATCAACTTCATAAAAATCAACGCTACGGCCTTTAAGCATGTTTTTCCCCCTCGCAATATCGCTTCTTACAACATCGACATTTGCAAGAAAATGTTTAAGAAGTCGGCATTCACTCCCCCTACCACCCAGCGGCCGCCGTCACCGCCGCACACCTCCGCAACCCCCGCCACGACCGACCCCTTGCCATCAGCCTCGCGCCCACCGACCAACTTGCGATTTTTCACATCGGATAGTGTAACGTCATCGGCCTCCGCGATATCCCCCTGTATCCTCATAATTTTATCGATCTCTCTCGGTTGACCGCAAAAACGCGCGACAAAAACGTCGGTCGCGCACGCACGACGAAATAAAAAAAAAAAAAAAGGCATTCCAGACTCGTTGGAGAAACGAGCTCGCCAACCGATCCTCGTTGACGCGCGCAACAACGAAACCGCGGCGTCATGGATAAAGAATCGGGAAACGCACACCGGGTTGTTCTAAAGTGCCGCGGCAGCTTTTGCGCGCGCGAGAACCGCGCCGTTGCTCCCGTTGGGGAGCCGCGCGTGTGCGTGCGCCTGTGCCCCCGGGGATGAGGCGAGCGCAGGAAACCGGTTACCCGTTTGCGTGCGCACGCGCAAGGATAAATAAATAAGGTTTCCTTTGGCTGGCGTTGCGGCCCGATCGTCCCTCATGTACAGCGTTATGCGTTTCTTTGTCGAGGCACTGAAGGTGCAATCGAGCGAATCAAAGCTCACTCCGAGCTCACCGGCACACCGACGTACGCACCTGTGCCTGTGGGTGAAGCACCGAGCCCATAAGCGGGCTCTCGAGGAAAGATAAAAGAAGAAAAATTACGTATGTGCCTTTCGCCGCGGCACTGCATTATATCCGCTACGCCTGAGAATTCACCCAATGAGCGAAAAAGAGAATCACATATAGTATGGGGCAGAGAGCGGAAGAGTGTTATAAAAATTAATTCGCATTGTACAATCACGTGACTGATAATCCGCATCGGCGAGAGGCCCTTTGTAAATGACTGCGAAAAGTATAAAAGGAGAAAAGGGAGAAAAGCGGCACGTGCTCGGGTTGGATGCATATATTTAAAAGTTATAGGATTGGTAGGCAGGAACTCGTCTCTTTAAATATGCAATACATCGGTCATGCCGAGTAAAGAAAAGCTGAGGATCTTATCGTCGTTTCGTCGTTGGTCGTCTTTTTACTTTTGGGTTCGCCGTAGGAACTTACATTGAGGAGATAAGACGCGGGCTATTCATCCCAAGTATTTATATCGCGGACAGTTGTTTAAATATAAAAGCCCTTTAGACTGTGCAATCTGTAGTGGTAGAAGCTAATAATAATACTTGTTCGCAGTAAGTTTATCGTCTTGTATTTTAAGCGTTGCTCAAGTCATCGGATCAACAACTCCGAACAATTATCTACGTAAAGCAAATTACAGATTTAACACGGAACTTAAATTTTCTTCTTACGAGTAGCCATATAATTATCAACGGGTGATCGCTTGGCAACTATATGGCTTTTTCGGGATTTTTTTTCGTTTGTAATCAATGTCCATTATGCTTTAGAAATAATGAGGGGATAAAAATTGCGACGCACTTTATTCAATATCGTAAATCTAATAAGTATTTTGATATAAATTAAGAATACTTATATGGTAATTAATACATAAGTATACAGAATGAGTAAATGTTAAGATTACAATAATCGAGGATGATATGCTATAGCGGCAGGATACCATTTGACTTCCTCAATTAATATGGTAATTAATTTTGCCCATTTGCTAATAATCTTTCATGATAATAGATCGTTTCACCACCTAATACCAATGTTGAAAAGTATTTGCAATTCTGTTATAATTAATCACTATTGTAGTCGAATGCTATTGGGATGCTCTATTATAGGGCTCCAGCAGGATTCAATCATCGCTAATTAACTAAGGATTGAGCCCTTAATACCTTATGCTTAGACAAGCGCACAGATGTAAAATGAACATAATAGAAAATTTAATTTAGTGTGAATATAATTATTTCATTCAATTTAATTATAGGTAGATCAGATCGGCAACGCAACTTTATTAAAAAAAATAAGTATAGATGCATTATAAAATTGATCTGGTAGTTACTGGCAAAGTGTCTTGTCTTTCTTATAAAAACGTTCGTCTAATCACAAATTCAGTAACAAAATATAAATTGTAAAACTTTGTACATTTTGGCAATATTTTGACATTAAGAATTTAGCATTAAAAATATGAACTCGTTGTTCGTTCAATTATTTATAATTAACTTAATTAGACTTGACAGCAAATATTCAACAAATAATATTACCTTATTTATTCCCAGTTCAAATGATCTCTAATGATTTTCGATATAAAAACCATTTCTTTATTGAACGATAAAAGTATTTCGATTCGTTACGGAATTCAGACCTGCATACGATAGAAGATAAATCTAATTCAAGAAACTATTCTCCTGTTATTTATATTAATAGATATTTTGCAAATATTATTTTCATTCTGTAATGCACATAAAATATTTTTATTTTATTCTTGTTTCTTAATTATGAGCATTAAATTCGTCGCTTCGATGTTTCAACTCTTTCTAAAGAAATATAGTATTCCGAGTATAAAATTTTCATTTATAAAATGACGGTATTTTTTCTAGACTTCACCTATTTTATTTTATTAAATAAGTTTAAAATTTTGTTATGGTTAAATACAAAAGTTCAACAGAATAATTATCATAAATTTTTATTAATTTTTTTTGTTTTTATTATAATAATTTACAAGGTATTCCCAATAATACGAAATCATATGATTCCGAATAATAACAATCAATTAATAAATTATTATTAACGTATTCGAACAATTATTGACAGTTAAATAAATTACTCTTACAAGAGTATTTCTATAGGACAAATATAATTAAAACATTAAATATTGATAAAGATGCCATACGATATTATTGAGTATTCGGTTTCATAGGCTTTCAAATAGTTTGAAAAATATTTGTTTCACAACAAATTATTTAGATTCATACATAAATTTATGTGTACAAAATTAATAAACCAATTAAAGCTACAGAAAAACAGTTATAAGATGTAATAATACAAAATAGTACACGATATCAGTTTCTTTTGGTAATCACTAATTAAAATTCTTTTGTCAAAAATAAATTAAAATGGTATAACATTTTAAATGGATCGACATTTATTTAATAATAATATAAAACAAAACTATATTATTAAATATTATTTTATTATTATCTAAATAAATAATAAATTAAACTATCAAAAGTATTCTTTTTTATGTAACAGAATTTTCATTTTCATACAATTTGAATAAAATATTTCTAAAAAAATATATTTGACATTTAAATATTTTAAATAACTGAAGATTTTGAACATTAATAAAATAATTTTTTTTAAGATATATCCCATTGTATAATATTATATTGAATAGATTGTATAATTAATTCTATAAAAAACTTATTAATTTAATTAAAGAACCGTTTGATTATTTAATATACAAATTAATTTATTTTTAATGAATTCAGCAAATTAATTAATATTCTTAACTAGACTTAAATTAAAATATTCTATAAATATATAAAATTTGTTTCTACCAAAATTGAGTAAGGTAACTTTATAACTTTCCAAACTTATTTCTTATGTAGGAAAACAATTATATTAATAAACAGAAGATAATGCTGATAATATCGAAATTATATTTCGTCTTACAGATAAAAATTTGAATAATCAAGAATGTGTACATATAAAAATCCACTTCGATTACAAAATAACTAATTTCCAAAATTTATACAAATTTTCATTTCGATTTGAATAGTCTTTATATTATAAATCTTGTGATTTGAATAAAAATATAGTAATTAAATTATATTCATTTAAAAAATGTAATTACTGATTACATTACTAAAATTTTAACAGTATTTCTAATATTTACCATTATATGTTAATAAGATCAATAGGTATATTACAACAGTATAAAATATTTTATAAAATACACAAAAACATCAATATTGAAAAAACATATATCACAAATCATTAATTGGAATGTAAGCTGACTTTTATAATAAAGATGTCAAAAATTTATACTATATTAGTATAAAATCAAACAATCCCCCCTCCCTCATATAGATATAATTGGTAACAACAGTCTATATCTCTTTTTTACAAATGTACAATGTTACATACAGTAAGTGAACTATGTAATTAGTTAATTTGAACTTTGTCTGTAATATCTTCGATAAAACTTGATTTACCTAAAATTGGATCTGTTACATGCAGTGAACTTTCACCTTCTGACATTTCTTCCTGTAATGATATGTGTTCAACAGAAGGAACATCCGAGTTTGCTGTAAAAAAGTAGAATTTTAAAAATAAAACAAGTATAGTGATCTGATACAATTAATATGTGGACTTACAGTCATCGGATAGTGTTTTATTCTTTTCTTCATTCACTTCACCTTTCTCATAACTAAAGGTTTCGTCAAAATTTTCTTCTTCGCTGGCAAAATGTATATACGATAATATACAAATTAGTACTATGAAAAACAAGTTGGTGCTAATGCCAACAATAGCTGATAATAGGGGCCAATGAAACATCAAATATCGTAAACCAGATAGATGAGCATTTATCATTATAGATGCGGAATAGAACTCGATGTGACGAGATTGAATTTCAACATAAATAATGGTTACTGGATGACTCTATAAAAAGGAACGATACAAATTTAAAATAAATCTCATGAATATTCAAATTTTAAAATAAAATCCAAGCAAGCAATTATTATTCAATATTGAACTTATATTTTGATATTTAAAACAATTTACAATTTAAAACAATACTTTTTCAAAAATTACCTAAAAATAAAATTTCCTATGAATCATTTTCCAATTTTTAATTAACTGGTTAATTATACAATTATACAAAATCAGATATACAATACATTATATATTTTGTTATTAATGTTATAACAAATGTTCATGATATATATTTAGTTTATACATTTAATTAAATTTTTAACTTTAAATTTTATTTACTAACTTGATCTTCCTCAAAACTACCAAATAATTCAAGAACGATATTTTGTTTTTCTTCAGTTGTTCCAAATATCATCATAGGTGAAAAAGTGAAAGTTGTTAACATGTGTAGTAAGGAGCTGCGATAATGTAGCATAGCAGACCTACAGGCATGTTCAACCAATACTCCATCTCGACTGCGTAATTGTGCACAAACCATAAACATGCCTAAAACATGTTATATCAATATAATAAGTATTTTTTTTTTACTATTCTATGTATTATCGTACAGCCTAAAAGAAATTAATGGTCTATCTATCAATCTCATAGAGTAAATAATTAATATTCATTAAAGTACATTTACAAAAGTAAATATATGTATATAATATATTTGAAGGTAATCTAAGACTTATGAAGAAGTATTTCAAAAGTCCAAACTATAGTATTAACTCTCATTTATAAATATCTAATAACTATGATATTATATTAAATGAATAAAATAATAATATATGCTGAAAATGGCGAATATGCTAAATAGTTATTTAAATTTTCTAATAGCTATTTCAATTATTACCAAGTTCTTTATTGGCAGGGGATTCAGGCATTTCTAATTGTAAATTCACTCGATACGGTTGTCCAACCATTAACAGTTGTTGTTTCTTTGTCAACTGAACATATCCCGATGGATAACTGCACACACCTTTCTCTTGATCGCATGATCTAAAATTATAATATTTAAATTGTTAATTAAAATAAGTATGCAGTAATAATAATTATAATAAAAAATATGTTTTACTCAAATTGTAGATGAACTGGCCTGACATACGTCATATTTGGCATATATGCATAATAAAATGCTGTGTATAAAAAAATTGAAATCCATATTATAAGTATAGCACAGATAATTATCAGTCCACCTCGAAATACAGCATCTTTTGCTGACTGAACTCCTTCAGTAGTTTTTTTTTGAACATTGAACCATTTTTCGTGTATTCGTTGAATTAAATTTGAAATAATCATGTTCTTTGGAGATGCAAATCCACTTTAAGAAATTCTTCTTAGAAAATTATTCGATACTTGACGTGACTTTGCAGAAGATAAGATAGGCTATCAGCTTTCCTTCGCACAAAATTCGATAAAAACAGTATGATTTTATTTTAAAATTGAAAATTATAATAAAAAGTATTAAAAAAAATTTAATTACATTTTATGAGAAATCTAATTTATTTATTTGTAAATAAAAATTTAATCCTTGATAGGCGTTATTCCTGTAACCAATATACATCTTATTTTTTAAGAATAATCGTCTTTTTTTGTTTTGTTTTTATACTGATATATAAATAAAAGAACAAAAAGGTATTAAATTCTGAAAATAATGTTTATTAGGTTATTGCAAGTCGGAGAAAACAAAAATGATGAGTATGTTATGATAGCATTAACATTGGCAACACTGTTAGTAAGTATGTAACGCGCTAATATTTTAAATTACTTATTATTTTCTCGTTAATATTACTTCAACGTTTCACATTAATGCAAAATGAATTCAATTCTGAGTGTGAAAAACGATAATATAACGACCCACATATGAATGTTTATGGAGTCACAATGCATTTAATTGCTTTAAATTAATGTCTATATAAACGAGCGTTTACTTATTATTACCAATTATTTTATTCATGCTTTATTATATATATATATATGTAACAAAATAATTTCTATCCAAAGTAGATTCAAAGTCGATGAGTTTAATGAGAAAAAGTGCTTTTCAAATTTAGAAATAATATAATTAAGGCACATTGTGCCTTAGCCTTTTAGGATTTATTAACACTTTCATTTAATTCAAGGGACACTGAATAATCACTGGCATCTTCGCCAACTGTCATCGCTCCGACTCCCGCAGCCTTGCATTTGGCAACTTCAACAATGATCTCGGCCAATCGCTGTCAGCCGGTCTCTCTTGACATGCGCCACAACCGGGGCACAGAGAGAGAGAGAGCGAGAGAGAAAGAGAGAGAGAGAGATAGATAAGCGCGACACTCGGCAAAGAGAGTAGCGAGTTGGCTGAAGTACAGTTTCAAAATGGTCGTGCAGTCGATTACGTGGCTATTATATATCTATGCAGAGTGCACATAGATATACTTATCGTACCTACGATGATCGCCATATTCGCATTAGTCGAGTAACGATCCTCCACCCACTATCCAGAGCCGAGTGTCAGCGAGTGCCTCGCTTATCGCAGACCGGTGGAGGAGCAGAAGCTCCCTCTCTCATCGAGCTTACGAAAAGTTTTGTTCTGCTGGTCAATTGAATCGTCAGTCGCGTTAAAATGGACGGCGGTGGAGCTTACGGCGGTGGTAAGGCTGGAGCCCCGTTCGATCCCATTGCATTCGTGCAAAGGCCACAAGTTATTCTCAGGGCAGTATGTCTGGTGAGCAGCAGCATTGTTATTATTTTCACTATTCACCATGGATAATTTGACTTACACCCCCCACGCCCCTTCACACACACACACGCACGAAACGCACGCACACACACACTTTATTCTCTCGAATTTTCTTCTTATTTTTTTGTTTCCATTATTTGTTGTCTTCTTGTCGATGAAAAGCATCGCTGGAACGAGATAGTGTGTGTGCGTACGTTTCGTGCGTGTGTGAAAAAGTGAGAGAGAGAGAGAGAGAGAGAGCATCGATTTTGAGAGAGGATTCCCCTCCGTCATTGCTCTTACTTGTGTGATACGCGTACGTGTGAATCGCACGCGAAACAGCGCCGCAAGTGATGTCGTTGATGGGGTTGTTCTTTATTGATTTTCCGTGAATTACAGCGAGACGTGCGGCCACACACGCGCTCGATGTCGCATGCTCTAATAACAGTGCGGCGGGGGAGAAAGAGAAAGAGCCCTCAAAAATAGTGCCTACAGGCAGGCAACTTGCATTGTTCTTTATAATGTCTAATGAAGTGACTCGCTGATTCGCAATATCCAAGAGAAAAAATGGATGCTAGATATTTTCTCAAACAATATCCTTCGACAATATAAGATCGTTTAAGATCGTAAGTATGAGAGAGAGAGAGAGAGAGAGAGAGTAGCCGTCTCGTTTTACGTCCCGGCATAAATCCTCTTCTTGGAGATACCCGTCTTTATCGTGAAATCGACAAAATGAACAGTGAATAAGAAAGGGCGAAAAGTAGCTTATTCCACTTGCTATTATTATGCAATGACTGTCTCGACTAATTTTTTTTCTCGATACAAATTTTGTGATCGATGCTTTCCTTTTTAGGGGAGAGTCCTAGTTTTGGTATTCGCACGCGTTCGAAAATTTATATTGATGCTAGAAGGACGTTGGGGGCGTATAGGAAAATGTTTGCTTCTTAAGCGTTAAGTATTGATTGATATTCGCCTTTGCTCGATAAACTTAACACAAGTCATATCTCTTTTCTTTACAAGTGGAAGAAAATCACATTGACAAGGATCTGAGACGGTGTGAACTCAATTTTAATAGTAAATTCAATAATGTGTATTCAGAATAATTTAGTAATTTTTAGTCACTTGATTACTTAATATTTGCAAATTAGTTTTACTTTGATAATTTTTCTTTGATAATTTACTTTGATTATTTTCGTCGTCTGATACAATTATCATTTACCATTCAAACATTATAATCTTTAATTTAATATTATTAACACGATCTGTTTTTCTTTACTATAATACTTTTTATTTTTATATCAATTTCATATTTGTTTGAGTAAATAGGTAAATCATCGACGATAGTTTATATAGAAAGTACAAATTATTTATAATTAATGTAAATTATATAACAACTTATGTACACACACGCACACACGGGCACGCATTAATACAGGCGCGCGCGCACGCACGCACGCACGCACGCACGCACGCACGCACACACACACACACACATTATGTAATAAGAATTTTTATTTTTTTTTAAATTTAGTTTCAGTTTCAGTTTTACTAGAATATGTAGCTTGTCATAAAATATCGTAGATAGAATAACTAGATGTTGAATATTGATTGAATTTTACTATTTAAAACACGTAATTTTATTAGCAAGAATGAATGATTTACGTGCTTTAAAATTTTTTAAATAATTTTTTAAATAAATTTTTTTAATATATTTTTATAATTAATATGTATATATATATATCATGTATTATCTTCAATATCTTGTTATACCAAGTTCCAAGTTGAAGATATTAGGCATAGATTTTAGAGAGATGTAATTATTGTAACAAGAAACTTATAAAATAATTTTTTTCAGCTGTTTGCAATCATTGTTTTTGGATGCATAAGCAGCAAAGGATATATAGAAAAAGGAGGAAAAGAAGTGTGTTTATATAACAATGATGCAAATGCATGCAATTATGGAACAGGAATCGGTGTTATTGCCTTTTTAGCAAGTATTGGCTTTTTAGCAGGTGAATACTTGTTTGAACAAATGTCCTCTGTTAAAACTCGGAAACACTATGTTCTTGGTGACCTTGGGTATGTATAAATATATATAATTATAATGTATATGAATAAAATTTACAAACATACGCTGACACATGCATGCACACACACACACAGATACATTTATATTTACTATTAAGTATATTCTATTTATTAATTATCATTATAATTAATTGTCTAGCTTCTCTGGATTTTGGGCATTCCTTTATTTTGTTGGATTTTGCTATTTGACCAATGCGTGGAACAAATCTGACCGACCAAAAGATGGATATGGTATTAACAATGTTCAAGGGGCTATTGCATTCTCCTTCTTTTCTATCTTTACCTGGGTACGTCTCACATAAAATTACGCTCTTATAAATAGTTATGTTTGATTCATAGTTTATCGAAGTTTAATTAATGTTGACAATGTGTTTGTCTACTATAGGCAGGGTGCGCATGGTTTGCATTTCAAAGATTTAAACAAGGAACCGATGCGGCGTTTGCTCCAAGCTACGAAGCTGATCCTACAGGAGGACAAGGCTACACAAGTTATCCGGATGCCACTGACGCTGCTTATCAGGAGCCTCCATTTGCTCAGCAACAACAAAAAGGTATGGGTGACTTTCAAGCTCCAGCTTATTAGAGTCATCCATAGTCGTTATAAAATGTATATTACAAGGCCACTGCAGCGAACTAATAATGATAGGAGTTTTTTTGTTAATTATTGTTATCTTGCGTTTAAAAAAGAATGTTACAACAAAAATCTCATACTATCGCGTATCGTGATCTAAAGAAGAAAAGTATTAATATTTTACAGGAACTCATTTGTTTCCCCTATTAGTTTTGTAAAATCATTTATACATTAACATTGTAGATAAACGAAAATATAGATTACCTTTTTGTTACTTTGGCAGATATTCCAAGATTATTTATATTTATTATGTATACATAACATTGTAAAAATGTAATTTGAAATCTTGTATATTTATATTGAGTAAGGAATTTTATTTAATATAAAAATTCTGATTTATAATTATATTCTATTTATTGCTTTGATAACAGTTTTTATACCAGTAAATATTTGTTATAAATAAGTAAAGAGAAGATAAAAAGAAGGTATCCATAACTTGTATTGCATATGAAAGACTTCACAAGAGCTTCTTTGCTCATAGCAGTGAATTGCTCCTTTCACTGATAGATCGCTATCCATGTTGGTCTTAAATTAACTCTGCATAGCAAGATATAAGAATCAAGAAAACCTATTTGTTGAATAGTGGCAATAATTGTTAGCCACTTGTAAGTTGTACTTAATTGTATGTCTGAAAAGAAAACAATACAATGTAATTAAGGTGTACTATGTGAGGCACTATATGAAAACTTTGACCATTTATCTATTAATACAAAAATATAAGATTAACATCATTTCTCATAAAAAAAAGAAAAAACAAAGATAATACGTATGTATTAATATTAAATGTTAGTACATTCACCAGCTATGTATATTTTAATGTCGTGACGTGTTTAAAATATTCACAAGCGAGATGTATAAATACTGCGTCATATTTGAAAGGAAACAAATAAATAAAGTGGTCGGTATAAGTCTGCTTAAAATGCACATATCCTACGTTGTCGAGAAATAAATAATTTTTAGTTTATTTACGTTTCAGAAAAAATATTTTTTACCAGAGATCGGGGAGTGAAAATATTGCCAAATGTACTTTTCAATTTATACAATAATATAAATATCTAATATTTTTAATTATATTACACTAAAACAATATTATATAATAATTTTCATTGTTTTAAATGATAATTAAATTTTGCTTTATCGGACATATATTAAATACAATTTTATTTAGAAGGTTTAAAATTAGTTGAAGAAAAGGAAATGTCGATAATATCGTTAAAATAAAAGAGAATATTTGTATTACTATATAAAGTGAAATCAATATTTGTTAGTAATTACTTCATAATTATTCAATTTATTATTTGAATAGTTATTTAACATTAAGAATGTGAAAAATGTTTCAACAACTTTCTGAAAAGTATTAGCAGAAGAATATTTTTAAAATACTTTTCAATTAGTCAACGGCATTTGAGTGACATGATGATATGGACAACGGATAAATATTATAATCGCAAGCCAATTGAATTACAGTTGCTACTTGAGTTAAACTTGGTTAAATTAATAAAAAATGAAATTATAGATATATATCGATACTAGTTCATGTTTGACTGAATGCAATTATTAATGTTAAATGGTTAGAAACTTTTGTTGACGATATTTATTTATTGGTTTATTAAAGAGGCTGTAATCAGATTGAATGGTAAAATATTTTTTCTATTAATTTACTTTACAACGCTGCACCCATTAATATATGAAGAAATGAAATTATAATAAGCCAATTATTACTTATTATAGTATTATAAGTTTTGTTTTCTATAAATGCGATTTGTCAAGTATTTAAAAGAAAATCGGGCAACTTGTACAATTTAATTTTTACATAAGCATTTGTCGAGAAACATTAGAAGAAACGAGTATGCTATAAACATTTGCTCCAATGGTATCTCAAAACAATGGATAAGGCCATTATATAAAAAAAAAATTTAACACTTTCATTGAATGTTCATATAAATACATATAAGAAACTATTCATACAAATACTTTTCAAATTATTCATGTATTATTTAGTGAAGTTTTCAAGCCGAAAATAAAGAGATACATCATTTGCGCGGATGTAAAGCAACACGAAACAAATATAGTTATTGCAATGGACATTAATACAGTAGCGTGTATAAAACGAACAAAAATTAAACATTTATTAAAGCGAAATAATTTATGAAAATAAAATATATACTTATGGATGTAGCCAATAAACATTTATTCTAGTTATATAAGAGATGCCCCTGTGCAGTACAGAGATCTCAGTGTTTACATACAATTCTAGTCTAGTGAATGTATGATTTACAATAGCGATTATGAAACGAAACTAAATATCCGTAATTATTTTAACTTGTAATTTATAATCTTTCCAAATTATCATATAAGAAGTTCCATAGCCACATGATGATTATTTTTATCCTTAGTAACGATTATTGCAATAATCTAGAAAATTATAGGCTGTGGAGTTTCCGTTAAAACAAAATTCATTGCATTTATATTTTTTATAGTATTTACGTTGTGCGTTATAGAAGCTGGTGGTACATTTATGAGATGCCAAAACGTGCGGTCAAATTATATTGTGGATTTTTAATATTTGATTATGTTATTTCGATAATACTCATTTTTAAATTGAAAAAAAAATGTACTGTTATTTTATAAAACTTCATTATTTTTGTTTAAGGATTAAAATATGCAGTTTAAAAATCGTTCAATACTGCTTAATGTTAATTTTCTATTACTCTATGTAAATAGAATCTACAATACCAATTAGGGCAGCAGATGATCATCCCATAAATAACGTCAAGGCTTCCATAATTATAGACAAAACTTTGGACTGCACTCATACCGTCAAAAAATGTAATCTATGTACATGATGTCAAGCAATACGCGGAATTTTGCAGTCTGTAAATTTTGATGCATGATAGTCATTAATCGATTCTTAATTGAATTATTCGATTGATTGTTTAGAAATGTGACCATTATTTCTTTTATTTTCTGACAATTGAACTGTATAATACATGGTGATGTCAGAACCTACCCCGAATTGCAAATAAATGTTATTATTTATTGTGTTAAAGATTTTTTCATTATAATCACAATGTGAACCTTGCCACGAAAGAATTTTCAGCGTTCGCTTTATTATATAATATAATTTATTAATTATATTGTATAGTTAATGCCGTATGACTGCTTAAATGTGCTTTGATATTGAGCGCTTCAACTAGTTCATAGTTAGCTCAATCATATCCATTCTATCTGTTAAATCCACAGCAACGGATTTAATGCTGAAAACAGCCAGCAATTAATTCACGATATGATGCCAAGAAATTGTTACCCTACGTATTTGATTTTCTTGCCCGTTGCTTACATAGTGCCCAGCGTGGTTTATAAGAAATTGATATGGTCAAGGTAAGTCTCTCACGAGTAATAATAATTTTTTATTACCATAAGTTTCTTTACTCTTTAAAAACCCTATTTGTACAGCATCAACGTGACAGTTTGTCTAGGCTTCGAGTTCACCCTTGGCCAATCATTGAAAGTAGCATAGTTTTCTACATTAAAGATCGTGAATCATAAATCTCTTAAGTTAACACCAATTTTCATTTTCATAATTCATAATATTCCAAGATGTACCATGTTCCCAGTCATTTTAGTATCAATATTACTAATTATCTAACCGATGAATTTGAGTACAATCATTAAATTTTTATTCTCCAAATCATTAATTTTTGTTCATGAAAAATGAATAGCTCACAGTAATCGCGATAAAATCGCGATATTCAGAATAACGTTAAATGAAACATAAATTTATACAATTAAATTTAGATCGAAAAGAAAAAAACACATTTGTAAATAAAAAATCTAAAATAACGATGCATTTTGAGAAAAATAACAATATCATTGCTACTTCATAAAAGGGGCAATAAAAAATCTAATTGCATTAAAATTACTCCCGTTATACATTAAAACTGAATTTCTAAAGCCTTATGGAATAAATGCTATGAATTTTTCTTTCTCCATGTGGGTCAGAAAGGACTGGATCATACGAAAAAGGAAAACCGATCAAGAACGATAAAATGCTGCCTGGGTAGAGACAAAATAATTGTCTGAAATTTATAACAAGGAAAAACTCGGTGAAAATAGAAGAAGATGGGATCTTAACTGGCAAACGGCGACGTTACAAGCGTTATTATCTAGTTGAATAAATAATGTGAGATACTGAAAGAACTTGGTTGTTCTCGACGCCTTAGCAAGAAATGTAGCGACGAAGTCTAGAAAATGAAACGAGTGAAGGCGATAATCAAGACATCGATATAGCGGACTTGAAGGGTTTGACAAATTATAGAAGGGCCTTGATCTAGCGCCTATCAATGTGTGTGTATATGCAGACGACTGTTGAATGGTAAGGCGAAGGTGTAATGGAAATAACAACATTTATTCGGTATTAAAAAAATTATAATTTAAAAATACACATTTTTAGATTATTACATTTGCATGTATTAATTTTAGATATCAAAATGAAAGCCGAGTTATTGATTATCATTTTTTTTTTTTTATTTATTTAATTTATATATTTGTCTACTCCAAGACTGATAAAACTAAAATGAAGAAATGAAGGGAAAGAAAGTAAATAAACAATTTGTTTTTATAAATACACATGTATTATGTAATATATTAATTAGTAAGCACACATTGCTCTGTAGGCTTAATATTAACATTTTTTAGCTCGTTGGCACTTTCCATAATAGGATGTGAATATACAATTATATTTTGTGCTCTAGTTAATGGTTTTCGTCCCTCGAAATATTCTTCTTAAATCAAACTTTTTACATTCGAAGAACTTTTTCAAGCTAAATTGGTACATGTTAATTATAAACTTTAGGATTTTTTATATTATACATACAAACATACACGTACATAAATAATTTTACATGCGCGCGCGCACACATACAAATAATTATGTTCAGATAGATATATATATATATATATATATATATATATATATATATATATGTATGTATTTATGAATGTATGCATGTACGCATGTATGTATATTAATACAATTCTTTTGCCGATACATATCTTTCCTCTTTTCTTTTCGATCACATTATAATAAACTGTGATGATAAAGGCCACATATGTTTGTAGAGAAGGAAGTATTACTATTTCAAACTACATGGGATCGAACTAACGTGATGTTTCAATTGTTTCTCTCTTTTTTTAAATCAGGATATTTTACGCAGTAAAACTTTTTATAATC